AGTAGTAACAAGTGCATCGCTAGTAGAAACAAGTGCCTTACTAGTAGTAACACGAAAGCTAGTGGTTAAGTTTCGCTCAGGTGGCCATAATTCTGCAATCGTCTCCAGGCTCCAACTGCACTACGACCTCTTGTGGCCAGGTTCGCGCCAATCCGTGTGACGATCCTCGTGCCAAAGCCCTCCGCAGTTCAATGTGTGGATGACCGGCACCTCCGACGAAATAAATAATAGAAACCACATAATAGAAACATAGAGAAACTAGCAGCCCCTGGTAGCTTCTTGTTCCTAGTTGCTACTTGCGCCTAGTAGTACGGCCAGGAGCCCCGGTAGAAACAAATAGAAAGAATGAAAAGTAATAACATAAAAATAAGATAGAGAAAAGTTTCTTTCCTTCTTCGGCCTCCGTTTCCAAAGAAACCGATGATGCCACCATTTGCGCCAAGCTCCGTGCGTGTGGCTCCGGTGATTACCGTACTGCTGCCATCTTCATCCGTGAACTCACGCAAGATCTGTGCATCTGGGTCGTTGGTAGTGTAGAAGTGAAGTCGCCGGACGTGCCACGGCCAACAGATTTCATAAGTCCACCAGCCATTTTGAGCATAATGACACATACCCTCGGGACTGCTCAATAAATGAAACAAAAACTCAAAACCCAAAGATTAAAACATGGAAGACTTTGATTCCTTTGAGAACCACGGACATTTCCACTTGGCCTTTTCCACTAAACTCACCTACAAGGCGCAATATGGTACCCCTACCACTTCCCTTCCCAATGGCCCCATGCCTTGTAAGATTCATTGACGTTGGGTTAAAGTTGCAAAACATACCACACTTGCAAAACTGGTGGTTTATTTTCCTTTTCATTTTTTGTGTTTTTTGTTCTTGCTTCATCTCCTTTTCTTTTCCTTCATATCTCCTTTTCTTTCACAAGAAACCTACCACGCAAGAAACCGCAAGAAACCTCGCCTCCAAGGGAGTCAGCAGGCTTATGACCGCCTCTTGCTGCTCCATCTCCTTGGTGCTGCAACATGTTGGAGCCTTCAGTTCCACCGCAAAATGCTCGTCATCTCCTCTACAGCGCCAACAAACATGCAACATGCAACAACAACAACAACAACAACTGAAAACACATAAAAGGTAAAACATGTTGCAAAATTATCAAAAAATAAAGAAAACCCCTCTGCCGGCCTCCGGTCTTGGAGGTGTAACCACAAACCAATTCGGTCTCTTCTGTGCTGATTTCTCGAGAAAAACAAGAGAGTGCGTCTTTTGTAGTGCTTTCGATCCGTCATCTCACCAGTGCTGATTGCAAGCGTGTCTACACTTAAGATAACTTTGCCTCGCTACTCTTTTGTTACCCGAGTCTCTCTATAGCTGAAATCATCATTCAGGTACCCCTTTGTGCACGCGGAGCCACACTGTCCATTAAATCAACAGGGCCAACTCACTTCTTGTTACCTAGTAGTGCCCTTGCTCCTAGTAGCGATGCCCTTTGTTCCTAGTAGCTTCTGGTTACTAGCAGGGTTTGGGACCAAACCAACATGTAGCAGAGCCTTTGGGTGGAATTGCTTGACTCCGAACATGAACTTGTAAACGTACTAGCGAGGTCCATTGATCTCAATGGTTGACTGGAGTGTTTGGTTTTTGTCACCCTGCGATCGACGGGCTCAGGGTGTGAAACCGTCAGCCATCTCTATATCTTGAATCACTAGTAGCGTCTTTGCTCCTAGTAGTAAGGCCAGGAGCCCCTAGTAGCGTCCTTGCTCCTAGGAACATTTTGAGGGTGTTTTGTTTTTAAATCAAGAACATTAAAAATACATCTATGGGGGTCTGAATGATGCTTGCCTACATCTGGAATAAGTATATAATGTCAAACTGTTTCAGAATAGTTTATGTGTATAGCTGATGAAAACTTATGTTGCGCTCATTGCTGTACTCAGGGTTTCACAGCTAGTGATTTGGTATGATACGGCCATTCAACATCAAATTGGGGGTCTATGTTAGTTTTCCCGCAGTCCACATGTGAACTGCATTTTGGAAACTGCATTGGGTCTGGAATGACATTTAAAAATGCCCAGGTCTGTTGAGATTGGGGGACCTACAGTAAGGATCATAAAATCTAGCGCCTGCAAAGTGCTGACAAGTCATGATGCTGGGCTCTTGTCACGCTGACGTGCTGATATGCGGTCGGGCTACCATGCGGTTTTTGCTAACCAGCTGCAGCTGACATGTTATATTTCTGACACGCTAAGGTGTTGCCACGCCAAAGGCTGACATGGTGTCATGTTGGTTTGTTGTGAAGTCAGAATGCAGGCACGCAAAGGCGTAGGTGTAGGCACGACATGATTCACATTGTGAGGACATATTGTCATACGGGCATAGGTTGTCGCACTAACTTGCCAGGGCTGCTAGGGGTTGGTTCCAAAGCCGGTTCTGGACGAGGTTCTCTGCAAAAACACGTTGCGGTGTTGTCATGTTTGTACATATTGTGGGCACGTGTGCTACTCTGACGTATTGGCGGCACATTGACAAGGCTCACGCTTTAAAAACAGCGGTGTCGAACAAAACACACACACACACCAAGTTGTCAACACACTTGCAATTTTTGCGCGTCTATTGCCTGCTAAATGTTGCCATTGCTCAATAAGCAATTTCTTTCCAGCTGTTGGGCCTATGATCGTTTTTCGCTAGGCCTGTTTGTCCGTTTCTTTTTCAAAGCCTTTAGGCATGTCCCTTTTCCCTTTCGTTCCCTGCTAAAGACTTGGATGTAGACCTCTGAACACCCACGCCGAAGAAAATTGCAAGGAAGCCCATTGAAACAGATTCCGCGGGTCTTGGTGGAGCAGCGTTGTATCGGCTTCGCTGCCAAACGACATGAAGATACCATGCGTTGTTATATGAGATGGTCTCTGGAGGAAACGGACTGGCGAAATCCTACATGTCCATGCCCTGCCCAAGTTGGGGGCGGGCTTGCTTCATCAAAAAGCAGTGTTAAAAATTTGAGATCTGTAGGCTTCGCAAACAAGTGCAAGAACTTCTTTTCGCTCTCACCTTGCGCGAAGAAGCGATTGTCGCGCCCTTTCGTCCTGAAAGATGCTCGGAATGCCGCTTCGCTTGGATGAGGTGCTTTTGCTTCGCTTCCCGTGGTGCACAGGTGCGCCCGGTCTCTGCAGCTCGGAGTTGGGTGTGAGCCATGGGAAATGCGCCTCGGGCCTGCCCTTGTTGCGTCCAACGTAGTAAAAGCTCGTCGCCTTCGAAGAGAAAACCGGACAAGCTTAGGCTCCAATTTGCTACTAGTAACAAGTGCCCTACTAGTAGTAACAAGTGCATCGCTACTAGTAACAAATGCCTTACTAGTAGTAAGGCACCTGTTACTACTAGCGATGCACTTGTTACTACTCAAAAACAGGGTCCCCAAGAACCCCAAAAGCAAGTGCAGGGCTCTCATGTTTTCGAAGGGCTCAGTGGTCTGCCGTTCGCCTACGCTCGAGCCAGGGCCCTTCCGACTTCCTGTTGGAGTAAGCGCAGGAGAAGGAATGCTTGAACTGCAGTCGCAGAATCTTAAACACTACATCACACATGCTAAACCTGAAGCTACTGCCTGGAGCCCATCGCTACTAGGAACAAGAAGCTACTGGTAACAAAGGGCATCGCTACAGGCAGCAAGGACGCTACTAGTACCTCTTGGCATCGCTTCTAGTAACAAGTGCCTTACTGGTAGTAACAAGAAGCTAGTAATTATAATTCTTATTGTTACTACTAGTAAGGCACTTGTTCCTAGTAGCGTGGCACTTGTTACTAGTAGCTACTAGTAACAAGAAGCTATGTCCAACCCGGTCTTTTGAACTGCGAAATTGCTGTTGGCCATCGCACCTGCCTTGGAAGCCAACGACCATGGCCTCAAACTTTGCAAAGCTTAACGCAGTTTCCATTGATGCACTGGTATCCTAACGGTCCTAACACCAGCTGAGCCGCAAGGTCATCTGCAAGCTTTTCCTGGATCCACACATGCTGCCCCAAATCGCAAGCAGCCTGCTCTGCTGGAGGTGGGTGATGGCAGCTGCACAAAAGATGCGCATGGAGCGCTTCAGACTTGTAGCCTCATCCGCAAATGACTCACGTGGTTGCATCAAGCTCCGTGGTGAGTACAGTACATGTGCTATTAGATTGGAGGCCATTGCTATTCAGACAGGCGGGACCGCGAGGCCAACAGAAACGCCAGCAAACCAGCCCACTAAACCACAACGGGAACAAAACAGCATGGCTGATAGGAAAAAAGAAGGGAAGGGTCCCTCTCATGAGGCCCCCTCGAAGGGGCCTTACATCGCTATTCTTGTACTTCCCCCTTACTGCCAACATCAAGAACTACTAGGAACAAGGGGCATCGCTACTAGGGGCAAGGACGCTGCTAAGAGCAACTTGCATGACCTGGCCTCAAACAACTGGTGCATGTGGGTGTCTGTGCGTGCGTGTGCAGCCTGGAACCATATATCCCCGCAAAGTCTCTCGATGGCACGCACCTATTCCATGAGCCAAGTGCCCTATATAAGTGGCCACCAACAGGGGGGCTCTTCTTCGCTTAACACAAAATCAGCAAACAACGATCCATTGCGTTGTGCGGGTGCTGCGTGGTGCTGCATAAGGCAGTATCTCGAAGACTCAATGGGCAAACGGGTGCAAGTGCTGCCTCCTTTTGGACGACTGAAGTTTGCTCTGAAAAGACCATGCCAATGAATATACTTGCACGCAGCGAACAAGCAACTTTCAGTGCTGCCGTATTGCCTTCTAGAAAGAAATGAACAAAATACAACATAACATGCGTATCAAGCTTTGGAGGTACGGGCTGTAAGATGGCAAACGGTTGCAAATATGGGGTTTCAATTGACCGAAAAGAATCTTTTTGATAGCATGTTTTGAGCAAGTGGCGCTGCTGAAAGCCGTAGCCTGCAGAGATCTGGGAGAGAGGCTCATGAAAAGCCACTTGTCCATTGATGGCAAACGTCTCGCCAACGCAGAGTTGAAATTCAAACCTCGCTTCCCAAGTTTTTAAAGATCCAAGACCTTCTAAATCTATTCCTGAGGGGCAGACAGTGAAGGTCTATTCCGACGACTCCGACTACCAGCATACCTCCCCTTACACTTAACTTACGCTACCTCTCTTTTTGGCCTAAGCCTCTCCAAAGCTACTAGTAACAAGAAGCTACTAGGGGCTCCTGGCATCGCTACTAGGAGCAAGGACGCTACTGGGGGCTCCTGGCCATACTACCAGCAACAAGAAGCTACTAGGAACAAGGAAGCAAAGGAATAGTGCGAGAGCTTCCCCACCGCCTTTCGGGGGAAGCTTCCTCGAAGAAGCCTGAGCTGTCCTGTATGCCCTCCTACCCGGCTAAAAGAGCCCCGTTCGTAGCGTCCATGCTCCTAGTAGCGATGCCCTTTGCTTCTAATTTAATTCTACTTTAATTTAGTTCTAATTTAATTCTAATTCTAATTTATTTTAAGTCTAATTTGATTTAGTTTTAATTTGATTGAATTCTAATTCTAATTTAATTTAATTCTAATTTAATTTAGTTCTAATTTAATTTAGCTTAATTTAATTCTAATTTAAATCCAATTTAATGTAATGCTAATTTAAGTCTAATTTAATTCTAATTCAGATTAATTCTAATTCAAGTTAATTCTAATTTAATTTAAAGTTTAGTTGAATTCTAATTTAATTGAATTCTAATTTAAGTCAATTCTAATTTAAGGTCATTCTAATTTAGTTCTAATTTAATAAGTTAATTCTAATTCAGTTTATTTTAATTCAAATTTAATTTTGTTTAATTTAATTCGAATTTAATTCTAATTTAATTAACTATAACTTAAGTTATTTCCAACTTAAATTCACACTAATTTGATTTAATTCTAATTTAACTTAATGCAATTCTAATTTGCATTCTAATTTAATTTCATTCTTTAATTATAGTTAATTCTAAATTAATTCTAATTTAATTTAATTCTAATTTAATTTTAATTTAGTTTAGCTTAATTCTAATTTATTTTAATTCTATTTTAAATTAATTGGATTCTAATGTAATTTAATTCTAATTTAGGTAGCTCCTGGTAGCTCTTTGTTACTACCAGTAAGGCACTTGCTACTAGAAGCGATGCCCTTTGTTACTAGTAGCGAGGCACTTGCTCCTAGTAGTAAGGCCAGGAGCCCCGAACGTAGCGTCTTTGCTACCAAAAGACTTTTCTCCATCGATGCTTCCAACCAAGCACCGCCCACGAAGCGAGGCGCTTCGCAACTGTGCCACGTATGTGTCGGAAGTCTCCGATGCTGCGCTTTGTTGGGGAAGACGGGGAAGCTCACACCGGAACGACCGGCCAGCCACTGAGAGGGGCACAAAGGGCGAGACGGAGTCGGAGTTGGCAGTGGTCTGGCCCTGCTGGGCGCAAAGGACACTTGACTTGCGAACGGAACAATTACCTACATTACCTTGTTACTGGTAGCTTCTTGCTACTAATACATTACCTCACACCATGTGTGGCATGTGCGAACTGAAGGTCTTCGCCAGAGGTTGGTCTTTAAAACTGCCGTGACTTGAACCAAATGTCCTGGCCAGAGAAGAAATGAACCACATAGTGTCCAGAGATTTCTTGTAGAAGGCTTGCCAATCCAATTTTCAGCATACCGACCGCAAGGCACGGAAGGCATGTGCGGCATCGCTCTGCGGTCAGAAAGGCAAACACGCCAAAATCATAACTGCAAAGTGGCCTGAGTAGTGTCCTTGCTCCTCGTAGCGATGCCCTTTGCTCCTAGTAGCGTCCTCTTGCTCCTAGTAGCGATGCCTTTTGCTCCTAGTGGCGAACATTGCTCCTAGTAGTAAGGCCAGGAGCCCCTAGTAGCTTGTTCCTAGTAGCGATGTCAGGAGCCTCTAAAGCACTTAAAACTGTTTGAGACTCTTGTTGAACCTTTTGGAGGCAGGAATTGGAAAGGTACCAAACTGCAGTTTTGACCCACTGAAGTGTCTACCCACTTGTCTGCCTGTGCTTTTTAGAGCTACTTCGTATCTGGGCCTATGCCACGATAATTCTTTGTTTTTTCTTCGCCTTACTTGGTCTACCCACCCGTGCAGCTGCGTTGGTGCTCAATGTGCCGATGAATGGGAAACAAAGCGATGGCCTCCAACCTAAGAGCGATGGCCTCCAAACACAAGCAACACGTGTCCTGCTAGCCAGCCTGCTAGCAAGGGATGCCACCAGCATCCCGCCAGTGGCGCAACATGAGAGCAATCACGAAACATAACAACAGTCACAACACCTCATATTGGGACAATTTTGGTCGGGTCGGGGTAGCTGGAAATAGAGGAATTTGTGTTCAGACCTTAAGACCTTGCTTTTTTCAGTATTCACAACGTTTCTCAACACGGTTTTGCTTCTTCGTTCAGCATGTCGGATTTTATGCAATTCGCCCTGCGTTCATTCGCCAATGTCTTGGACATTGGCGGCGTTGCAGTGGCCACCGCCACAAGAGTCGGAAAAGACATGCGCGGGGCCGAAGCTTGCACTGAGCTTTCCGATAGGATGGAGTAGTTGAAAATGCTAGTAGGTTGGAGGCCATTCCTATTAGGTTGATTGGTAAATCCATTCTAGCAATCGTCACCCGGGACAGGTTATATATTTTAGTGCTGTGTGCCTGGGTATCAATGGCCAACTTCATGGCATCAAAAGCTGCCTGCCATGTGTACTAGTAGCATTCTTGCTCCTAGTAGTAAGGCCAGGAGCCCCTAGTAGCGTCCTTGCTCCTAGTAGCGATGCCCTTTGCTTCTAGTAGCGTCCAACTCCATGTGTACTTCATCAAGGATACATACATCTCTCACTCATCTTCTGGCAGGGCTACAGCCAAATCGCTCTGTGGACTGTGATGGCTCTGTGGTGACTCTAGTGGCCGCATGAGTTCGTTCAATGGGATTGAGTTGTGCAGTTTTCATGGCCTTCGCAGAAACTATGAGGGGAGAGGTCTGGAATGCTATGCCCACTGAAACAATGCGCAGAAAAACTACAGTATGCGTTTTCCTTTTTCCCTCCAAAAAAAATCCAAAGAACACACGCTTTACCCGTGTAGACCCCGAACATATCAATGTTTTGAAGGCTGCAAATAACAGCTTTCGACTGATTCCAGACCCTGCCCCTGAGGCTTGTTCCGAGAAGCTTTCAAAGCTTCAAGGATTCGGTATGTGCCTATCTGCTGCCATTGTTCTCACGTGGCTCGTCACTCCTGGTGCGCTGATTCAACGAGCATATCAAAACACATTGTTTCATTCTCTGGATTTTGAACGCTACTAGGGGCTCCTCGCCTCGCTACTAGGAGCAAGGACGCAGTCCCTTCAGCGCTTGTCTGCGCTCTTCAAGTCCAGCGCTGCAATTGCCAAGGCCTCGAGCACCGTTCTTGGTCATGCTCGTAGTGCTGTCCCTAGTAGCGTCCTTGCTCCTAGTAGTAAGGCCAGGAGCCCCTAGTAGCTTCTAAAGAAAAACAGAAAAAGGGATGTTTTGTCCGTGATGTATTCTTGGATGAATCACACTTGGTTCCAAAAATTGTCTTAAAACCTTTCTCATTTCTTGAAGGTGACTCTGCAAGTACCAGCTTTGCCAACGATTAAGGTCCCGCCTGCCTTAGCTTCTTGATACACCTGATACGCCTACATCTCTATCCATGTACATCTGTGTGCACTAACATGGCCTCCAACCTACTAGCGATGGCCTCCAGCGATATCTGCATGGTTCAAACATGATGTCGGTGATGAAGGCGACGATGTGGAAGATGTGGTAGCTGTTTTCACGGAGAACCCTTCGCAGAAGTTTTTGGGAGAAACTAGGCGCTCATGCTTGCAAAAAAGAGAAGAACGGAATGTTGAAAGAACAAAAACAACAAGTTGCAAAAAAAAAAGGAAAAATAACAAGAACCCAATACGGCGCAAAGATAAAGGAAAACCATAAAAACAAGAACGTGAAAACTAACAGGAAATAAACAAGAACCTAACAAAAAGCAAAGAAAAAATGACTTTTGCAAGCAAAAAGCGAACGCAGTCTGACGACAAAACAATACAGTAAGGTAAAGAAAAGGGCAAGAGAAAGGAAAGAACAAAGACAGTTTCTAGAAAAGAGAAACGCAAGCAATGTACAGAAAGGAATAATGAAACAAACAGAATAGAGGGAGGGAAGAATTCGGAATTTTCTAAAGAACGAAAATACCAAGATCACAAGACTACAACAAATACGAAGAAAGAACTTCTGAAAAGAAAACCGGAACAACGATCTCAAAACGAAAGCACTGAAAAGACACCAAAAACATAAAACATGCTTGAAGGCCTCAAAAACAGCAATGAACGACACAGGCGAAGTAGATAAATAAGTAAAACTAAAATTGTCTAGGGCTAGAAGCGAAAAGGTCACAAACAACGGAAAGTACGACATGTCTAAAGGCCCAAAAGGAAAACAAACACCAAACAAAAAAGGCAGTACCTCCTGGCATCGCTACTAGTAACAAGTGCCTTACTAGTAGTAACAGGTGCCACGCTACTAGTAACAATAGTCTGAAGGGTCTGAAGAGTTAATAAACTTAATATAATTAGTAATTGGTTTAATTCTTGTTACTACTAGTAAGGCACTTGTTACTAGGAGCGATGCACTTGTTTATAGAGAACAAAGTTAATCGGAAAGGGTTAGGAACGAGTCTTGAAGGAACGAGTCGAAAGACGGGCTAGCGATGCTCCTTGCTCCGTTCGTAGTAAGGCCCTTTGCCCCGAACGTAGCGTCACGAAAACAAAACATGTCTAGAGCAAAAAGCACAAAAAAGTTCAAGGCCTAAAGGAACTGAACGTGTCGGAGAGGAGCGTTCTAAGGAAAATGAAGAAACAAAACACTTTTAAGGCAGAAGAAAGCGGGCTGCCTGAAATCTTGATGAAAGAAATGCTTCTCATTCACCAAGTTTGCTTCGTTTTTCACATCAAAGGCTCCGAGCCCAATTGCAGAGAGCTTGGACAATTGGGTGGTGGGACCTAGGCCACAAGCCGAATCGATACAAAAAGAAAAACAGAACCGAACATCCCTTGAAAACAGGCAATCTGAATCTCTTGTCCGAAACCAAAAACAGAAAGGTCAACTGAAAGCATGTGGACCGAACATCTCGACATCGCTTTTGCGTGGGCAGTTGGCAGAGCGGCAGTTGAAAGAACTTTGCTATTAGTTTGGAGGCCATCGCCATTAGGTAAAACAAAACAAAAAAGCGGGTAAAGACACATACCACGTGGACCTACCGGACTTGGAACCGCACTTGAAGTACTCTTGCGTGAAGAAGTCCTGCCCATGAAGTGTCTTTTCATGTCTGGCTTGATTTGCTCAAGTCTCAACGCGAATGTGAATAACTTAGATCCAGATCGTCCAAAGGCAACTCCTTGCTGGTGAAGTACTTCAGTTTCCGCATCTTTGCCTCCGATTTAGAGCACTCCGACTTGGTGCAACAATTCTTTGACAGACTGTTGAACTCGCGCCTAAGGGAAAACAAGAACACATAGTTGAAAGGAACAACATTGTCCATTGTAAAGTTTACTACTAGGAACAAGAAGCTACTAGGGGCTCCTGGCATCGCTACTCGGAGCAAGGACGCTTCTAGGGGCACTCCTGGCCTTACTACTAGGGACAAAAGGACGCTACTAGGAGCAAGGGCATCGCTACTAGTAACAAAGGGCATTACTACTAGCAGCGTTCTTGGCATTAGTATATAACAAGAAGCTACTAGGAACAAAGGGCATTGCTACCAGTAACAAAGGACGCCATATACTATTATAGCCGGGCTGTCGAGGCTTCTTTTTTAACGCGCATTCCTAAGAGCGATGGCCTCTCCACCCTATCTGTTCTTTTCATAGTGCACTAACCGAAAACCCCAACAAGGACAAAGATTCTCGGTCTTCGAATTGTCTTTCGTTCTTTTCGGTCCCTTTCTTTAACGTCTTTCACAAAGAACCAAACTGTTCTTTAATCAGTGAATCAAACAAGAATGAGCAAACTTGTCCCCAAAAAGTGTCAAGCAAGAGCATCCTATGAAGAAGAGTGATGCACAAGAGTTGTGGATGCCACTGCTGCTACTTCCAAGAAAGGTCTGGGATGTACCCAGCCTCCGTCAAGGTTCCAGGATCAAACTGGCGAAGCTTCTGCAAGAACTCGTGTGGTTTTTTCAGGATCCTTGCATGAACAATCGAACGGACAGCCAATACATAAGAAGCCGCGTTCCTAGGAACAAGAAGCTACTAGGAGCAAAGGGCATCACTACTAGGAGCAAGGACGCTACTAGGGGCTCCTGGCCTTACTACGAACGGAGCAAGAAGCTACTAGGGAATGTTTTCAAACGAGTCCAAAGAACAAAATCTCAGCCTACCGATCGTAGTTGAACATGGCACGCAAAGATGTGTTTATCACAACCAAGTCCGTCAAGGAAGCACATGAAAACAACCTTCTCGCCTCGCATGGGAATCCTGGTTAACCCCCATCCAGTTTCTTCCTACGATGGCCTCCAACCTAGAACCCTAGTAAGGCACTTGTTTCTACTAGCGATGCACTTGTTTCTACTAGCTTCTTGTTACTACTAGTAAGGCCCTTGTTTCTACTAGCGATGCACTTGTTTCGACTAGCTTCTTGTTACTACTAGTAAGGCACTTGTTTCTACTAGCAATGCACTTGTTTCTACTAGCTTTAAG